GTATTATAATAAAAAAGAGAGATCATCAATCAGTGTAGTTCGCCAATGAACGGTGTCTGTTCGCCAGCCCAGGGTTGCAATTCTCCTGATGCGAATTTCCAGAAGATCGCTCCACCCATGGCGTATATAATTACTGTCATGTAAAAAATGATGTTCCATTCGGCAACAGTCTTAAATTGCAAATTCATTAGAAAGACAACCTATCAATTTCAAAACTTTCGATGAAACCTACTCCAGAAGTAACGATGTATCCAACTAGTAGTGGGCATATCATTCCGGGCAATGTTGCCAAAGTGTTCGACATTCCCATTAGATGTCCAGCAAACTAAAGTTAATCAATTTAATAAAAGTTTTGACGATTACAATAGAAAATGTACCTGTGGAGCAAGATCCAGGTGGTTCACTGAAAACCCAGCCCAGCAGATTCCTCCTAAACCTATGGAGATTGTAAGGTAAGCAACTAGAAAAGGTGGTGATGACGTTACAGATGCGAGCGCAAGGAACAGAGCTTGACCAGCAAATCCTGAAAAAAAAGATCAGTTTATGTAAGGTATTGGCCATACTTAGATCAATTTGACTTAAAAGTGATGGATTATCTACCTGCTACACAGAATCGTCGTCGTACTGTTAATGTATCGATGTTACGTTCTTTACGGAGGTAGTCAGCCAATTGCCCTCCCCAAACAAGCGTACAGCCCATCACTAGATACGGTAATCCAGCGACAAAACCAGCCTAAAGACACTCGTCACCTAGATCCAAATTTCCTTTTTTTTTCTTTTTTTTCATTCAAGGCACACAGCTCTTAGCAGAACTGCTCCAATCCGCAGGGTTTTGTTAGTCCAGCAGTGAATTCTTTTGAAAAAAAGTATGTGTACACACTTGCATCAGCTTCGAGCTTGGATGTTGCGTCTTTGCTCGACAGTTTCAACCGAGGTGATATTCGAGCAGAAAGTACGGGGAGCATGCTGGATAAGCACGGGATTTAGGCAGTGCAAGCATTGATAAGAGCGCAAGAGAGGCGCGCAAATACAGCACCATCGCGCAATCGCCACTCGTCATATAGCGCAGCTGGAGCTAGCTGTGCTATCAGGATCTCAAATAGCCTAGCGCAAGCAAACTCTAAGGGACTAAGAAAT